GATGGAAACTGACGGATTCCGGATAAAAATGGATATTCCCTTCTTTGACGGAAGACTTCACATCGAAGACTATTTGGATTGGGAAGGTGCTGTAGAGAACTTCTTTGATTATATGGAAGTTCAACCCGAGAAACAAGTTAAATACGTGGCTTGTCGTCTTAAAGGTGGAGCGAGTGCGTGGTGGTTGCAACTACTCCACAATCGACATCGAGAAGGGAAAGGGCCAATCCGCAGTTGGAGTCGTCTGAAGCAGCTCATGAGGAGGCATTTCTTGCCCACAGATTTCGAACAACTCTTGTATCTTCAATATCAACAATGTCGGCAGGGTCACCGACCGGTCCATGAATATACGGAGGAATTCTACCGTTTGAGTGCCCGAAACAACTTGTCGGAATCCGAGAATCAGCTTGTGGCCCGGTACATAGGAGGTTTGAAAGAGAACCTTCAAGAGAAACTAGAGCTCAATTCGGTTTGGTCACTTTCACAAGCCGTAAATTTCGCCCTTAAAGCGGAAAGCCAACTCCAACGACACTACCGAACAAGTTTGCCGCGCAGGTCATTTGTAGACAGTAATGCTGGACCTTCCAAAAATGTGACTCCACAGGCAAAATCCCCTACCGTCCAGATAGCACCAGCTAGCACAGTTCCTGAACCCAAAGGCACCGGGCGACCTCGATTTCCTGCACGTGAAAATCCATATGCCAAACCCAATGTGATCAAATGTTTTAGGTGTTTACAACCCGGACACAAGTCGAATGAGTGTCCGGCTAGACACCAAGTGCAGTTGGTAGAAGGCGACGAAGAGGTTGATCCAGCTGAAATTCAAGGCGACAGTGAAACATGGGTGGAAGAAGTTTTGGCAGATGATGGCGAGCCCATTTTGGGAGTTATGGAAAAAATGTTGCTGGTCCCGCGGACTCCTGTTGATACTCAAAGGCATAAGTTGTTTCGGACTAAATGCACCATCAATGATAAGGTGTGTGATCTAATAGTTGATAGTGGGTGTACGGAGAACATCATCTCCAAGGCAGCGGTACAAGCCCTTCAAATCAAAACCACTAAAAACCCAAATCCCTTTAAAATAGGGTGGGTTAAAAAAGGAGTGGATTTCCTCGTCTCGGAACTGTGTAAATTCACCTTCTCTATTGGCAAACGTTATATTTGCCAGGTCACCTGCGATGTCCTCGACATGGATGTGTGCCACCTCATCCTTGGTCGACCCTGGCAATACGACTCAGGTGCTGTCCACGATGGTCGGTCCAATACTTATACTGTAGAGGTGAAGGGAAAAAAGTTAAAATTAATGCCGGTTGGGTCTTCCCCGAATGCCGGCCCCTCTAGCCTTACCATGTCTTGCCTAGTCATGGAACGTGAATTGTTAAGACTCAAAGGGGATGGAAATTCCCTGTTTGCTTTAGTTGCTGCCGACATGTTCACGTCACTTGGTAAAGTTCCCTCTCCAGAAATACAGAAACTACTAGACTCATTTCCGGACATTGTTTCCGCTGATCTACCTCCAACATTGCCTCCACTCCGAGATATTCAACACCAGATTGAGCTACTTCCGGGAGCTGTTTTACCCAACTTACCTCCCTACCGGATGAGCCCCCGCGAACACGGTATTTTACAGAAAATTGTACAAGAATTATTGGATAAACAGTTTATCCAACCCAGTTTAAGTCCATGCGCCGTCCCAGCACTGATCGTTCCAAAAAAGGACGGACAGTGGCGCATGTGTATTGACAGTAGAGCGATCAATCGCATAACTGTCAAATACCGTTTTCCGATACCGCGAATTTCAGATCTATTAGACAAGCTCTCCGGTTCTTCTATCTTTTCAAAATTAGACTTGAGGAGTGGATATCATCAAATTCGAATAAGGCCTGGCGACGAATGGAAGACTGCTTTCAAGACTGTCGATGGTTTGTTTGAATGAAAGGTCATGCCATTCGGTCTTTGTAATGCGCCTTCTACTTTTATGCGGCTTATGCACGAGGTGTTGAAGCCTTATCTCGGTAAATTTTGTTTGGTTTATTTTGATGATATTTTGATTTTTAGCAACTCCATAACTCTCCACATGAGTCATCTTCAATCAATTCTTGAGACCTTACAAGAACATAAGTTGTTCCTCAACTTAGCCAAATGTGAGTTTGCGGCAGAAAGCATCCAATTCCTGGGTTTTGTGCTCACTCCAGCCGGCGTTCAGACATCCCCCGAGAAAATTGTGGCCATTCGGGATTGGCCTGTTCCCACAACATTCACAGATGTGCGCAGTTTTCATGGACTCGCCAACTATTATCGACGGTTTATTAAGGGTTTCAGTAATATTATGGCTCCTATAACCAATTGCTTGAAATCGGCAACATTTTCCTGGACGCCTGTTCAACAACGCAGCTTTGACAAAATAAAAAATGCCCTGTGTTCCGCACCAGTATTAGCTTTCCCTGATTTTGATAAGCCATTTCAGGTTGACACGGATGCGTCTTCCATCGGTGTAGGGGCTATTTTATCACAAGAAGGTAGGCCGATTGAGTATTACAGTGAGAAATTAAGTTCGGCTCGGCAAAAGTGGTCTGCCTATGAACAAGAATTATACGCGGTGGTACGGGCACTCAAGCAATGGGAGCATTATCTCCTACATAAAGATTTTGTTCTCTGTAGTGACAACCAGGCCCTGCAATATATTAATAGTCAGAAAAACATCAGTCGGATGCACGCCCGTTGGATAGTCTTCTTCCAGAGATTTAGTTTTGTCATTAAACACAAAGCCGGCCATACCAACCGTGTTGCTGACGCTCTCAGTAGGCGAGCTGCTTTGATCACTCATCTGCATACCGAAATTACTGGTTTGCAAGAGCTTAAGGATCTTTATGCAGGCGATAAAGATTTTTCACAAATCTGGACCGATTGCTTGAACGGCCGGCCTCATCAAGATTATACATTACAACAGGGTTTTCTATTTAAAGGCAATAACCTCTGTATTCCCGATTCGTCGTGGCGGCCTCAACTGATTAAGGAACTTCATGGCGGTGGTCTCTCAGCACATGCGGGGCGGGACAGAACTCTCGAGCTGTTACAATCCCGGTTTTTTTGGCCTCACTTGAGGCGAGATGTGGCTAGATATGTTGAAAAATGTTCCGTTTGCCAACGTTACAAAGGTACATCTCAAAACACAGGACTTTATCTTCCTTTGCCTATACCCGACTCTATTTGGGAAGATTTATCATTGGATTTCGTTTTGGGACTGCCGCGAACCAAACGAGGAGCGGACTCAATCATGGTGGTGGTAGACCGGTTCTCCAAGATGGCCCATTTTGTGCCATGTAAGAAGACCTATGACGCTATCAATATTGCTCACTTGTTCTTTAAGGAGATCGTACGTTTGCATGGCCTGCCCCGAAGCCTCACTTCTGATCGAGATGTTAAGTTCGTCAGTCACTTTTGGAGGGAACTATGGAGGTGCCTAAAAACTGATCTTAACTTGAGCTCCGCATACCATCCTCAAACAGATGGTCAGACTGAAGTTGTCAACCGGACGCTCGGAAATATGCTGCGATGTCTAGTCCAAGACAATCCGAAGAAATGGGAGGAGCTTCTCAGCCATGCAGAGTTTGCTTACAATTCTTTGGCGAATCGGTCGACTAAAATTAGTCCATTTCAGGTGGTATATACTAAACCCCCTAACCATCTAGTTGATCTGACTGTTTTACCGAAATGCAGCAATTCCGAAGTCAGCAAAACCATTTCTCAGGCAGCTGAGACTATTCAGTCGGTAAAGGAAAGGTTACAGGAATCAAATGCCAAATACAAGCTTGCAGCGGATACGCGCCGAAGGTTCAAAAACTTCCAACCGGGTGAATTAGTGATGGTTCGTATGCGCCGGGAGAGGTTTCCGCAAGGCAGTTACTCCAAGCTTAGCCCAAGGAAGCTGGGACCATTTCCAATTCGCCACAAGATTAATGATAATGCTTACGTTATTGATCTCCCACCTGAGATCCTTACGTCGTCTACATTTAACGTAGCAGATATCTACAACTACTATCCACCGGATGAAGTCCAAATTCTTCTCTCTCTCTCTCTCTCTCTCTCCCTCCCTCCCCCCCCCACCCTAGCCTACATAACAATCTAATGGACAACCCATATTAATTCTCATGATTATGATTTATTGATCCATCATTTAAGTGTCTTAATGATGTTAGAATCAAGAGAAAATGGGGTAATTGGATTCGCCTCGTAGCTACACTCGATTTGAATATAAGTATGTGGGATTTGGAAATCATAGCCCTCCAATTAATGTTAGAAGTTTTTTATTATGCTTAAAGTGCTTGATTTGGGGTTATTTGGAGTTGAATAAGGTCACTATGGTTGCCATGTGCTTGTCTCGTCAAAATTTGGATAATCCTAAATTTATTTATAATAGTTTGCAACTCAAATATGTATTGGATTCTTGCCTAATCTAAAACAACTTTTGATAATATATCGAATTATCAGTTCATTTTGGCATATTACAAAATCTTCGAATTCAATCAATTTTTTAATAGACTGAATCTTCTTTTCCATTCACCATCTGCCACCACTGTTGGCCGTCTCTTGCCATCGATGAATCACCCCCATCGGACAATAGAAACTTAATTTATAACAATCCAAGCACACACTCAAAAAATAATCTTATAAATTTATTCTACAACCACTAAATATCATAAAACAATTTAATTAACTAAATTTATTTTAGATTGCATATGAAATACACTGAAATTCTAATTTCTTGCAAGCAAACATCCCCTTACCTATAAAGGAAATCTCCAATAATAAGAATGTATTTTTGGTAGAAATTTTAATCTAACCTTATTTGGGAAATCCCTTTGATAATTTATTAAGTTAATAATGATTTTCCATAATATGAAAGATTTTTTACATCATCGGGCCGAAATTTCGGCCGAAACGAACGGAAACCGATTTTCGGTACATCGCTCTATAAATAACGCTCCGAGTTACCTCTTCCTCTAATTCGATACCTTTTTCTAGGTCCTCTAAGAACGGAAAAACTATTCACCTCCCCTCTTCGGTTGGGAAACGAAACAGATCTCTCTCTTCCTCTTCTTCGATTTTCCGATGGGGAAACTCCGGTCCCTGCTCCGGCGCCGAAGAAAATCAAAGGCCACCACGTCCAGTGGAGAGGTTTCGGAGCCAACTTCGCCGGAAGCCGCTGCAGTGGCGACACAAGAGGAGCTCGAACTCGTTTTCCGGAAATTTGACTCTAACGGGGACGGAAAGATCTCGTCATCGGAGCTAGGGGCCATCTTCGAAAGCCTAGGGCACGCGGCGTCGGCTGAGGAGCTCGCTCAAATGATGAGCGAGGTCGATGCCGACGGTGATGGCTTCATCAGTTTTGAGGAGTTTGTGGATCTGAATACCAGCAAGGTCGATTCCACAGCGGCGCTCGAGGATCTCCGCCACGCTTTTTCCGTCTTCGATCTTGATCGCAACGGATCGATATCGGCGGAGGAGCTCGCGCGCGTGATGCGCGGCCTCGGCGAAGGGGTTTCCGTCGCGCAGTGCCGGAAGATGATCGATGGCGTCGATAAGGATGGCGACGGCCTCGTTAGCTTCGAGGAGTTCAAGGTCATGATGTCCAAATCCCCCATCGCAGCATCGATCACCAGGATCGAGTGAGCCAATCTTGATCTCTATTCTCTTCTCGCAATTTATCTGTTTCTTTTTTATAGCGAATAGTCTGGATCTGACCGAAAAGAAGCCTGCAAAATTCCTAATCTGTACATATGTGGAAGATTGGTTTCTCGTTCTTGCGACATAATTTTTTTCCCTTTCTCTGGTCGTTTTCTATTTTACCTGAATTTTCGGTCCTATTTTAATTTCTAGCTTTCTCAGAGTCAACATTTTGAGACCGATTCTGAGGCCTGCAGGGAGACTAAATAATCTACAAAAAAATTAATTGTACTGTATCGAATTTCGATTCTATAAATTTTGGAAATTAAATTTATAATCATCCTAACTCCAATTTCAACCTATTTATAATTAAATTAAACATCTTTATTCCGAGTCCAAGTGAATTCAAATCAGACGCTCTAAACAAATTTAAAAATTTTAGTATATTAATTAAATAATCAAATAAACTCCATATATTACATACTTATAATTAAATTTAGTGGCTTGAAGAGACAAATCTAACAAATCCAAAATCATTTGATTTTGAGATCTATAAGATATTTAAATGTTGAATATACTATCTATGATCTAAGCATTCAATACGATTGACTAATATCCAAATATCACTCACAAATAAATCACATTCTCCACATGAAAATTGAAACTTGATATTAGAAATAACTTAGTGTTATAAAGAATTTTACCCAATTTTTGATGTCAAAGATTATCATCAGACATTATCGTCATCCAAATGCAGTCGCCAAACCACTATCATCAATCATTATTGCTCGATTATGATAGTCCATTCCCTATAATCTAATCATCATATTTGACTGATATCACCCAATCACAATTGCTTGACCGCTATTGTCCGATCATTATTATTTGAACACCATTGCTTGATTTACTCATCAAGTTGTCATTATTATCTCTCTAAAACTTCTTGCCTTATCTCTATCATAAATATAGGAGATCAACGAAGTGCTTCAAATATTGTAATCACATATTCTATAATTGTGAGGAATAACGAACTTCTATAACTTTAAGTATATAGTCAATGTACTTGAATTGAGATAGATCTTTTGTTTCTTTTACTTTCCAAATTATTCATGTAAAAATTATGACGCCTTCCAACTTGAAATGTTACATACAAAATTATTGCATATGTGTAGTGTCAACACTCTATACATTGTCATCATAAAAAATTTCTGTCTGATCTAATCTTTAAAATCTTCAATTTTTTTTAATTTGGCTTCCAATGGGTTAGTCTCTCTTCACTTAGACGAAAATAACAACAACATCAAGCTTTTGTCCCACTATGTGGGGTCAGCTATATGAATCTTTTTTTTCCATTGCGTCTTGTTAAAAGTCAAATTCTCGTTTAAATTTAATAAAGAAATATCATTTCTAATATTTTCTAACCAAATCTTGATAAGTCTACCTCAAACTTTCTTAATATAAGTCAAATCTAATACTACTACTTTTCTAACCGGGTCATCAAAAGGTCATCATTTTATGTGATCAAGTCATCTAAGACGATTCTCTCAAATCTTATATTTCACTGGAGCTACTCCAATCTTTTCACATATATGATCATTACATATCATGTCTCTAAGGGTAAATCCAATCCACCTAAACATCCTCATCTCTACAACACTTAACTTAGTGTTATGCTTCTCTTTTAATGGCCAACATTATGTATCATAAGCATTGCAGGTCTCACCACCATCTTATAGAATTATCTCTTAAGTTTGAGGGGGACTTTTCTATCACTCAACAAGCTCGATGCATTCCTCCACTTCAATCATCCAACTTTGAATTCTACTGATAATATCCCCATTCATTTCACCATCACTCTGAATAATATATTCAAATATCTAAAACGTGTACTCTTATTAATGACTTAAATGCCCAAAGTCGCAATCCCCCCCCAATTAGGTCTATTACTACTAAAATTACACTTCAATATATTAAGTTTTAGATCTACTAAAGCAAAAACCTTTAGACTCTAAGGTTGACCTTCATAATTCAAGTTTACCTTTAACTCTCTCTCTCTCTCTCTCTTCTTATCAACAATAAGAATATCACCAGTAAAAAAACATACACTAAGGTACATCCTTTTGCAAATGTCTAGTGAAAACATTTATGACTAAAGCAAAAAGATACGGGGTTTAGGCTGATCCTTTATGTAATCTTAACCGAAATAGGAAAATACTTTGTCAAATCACCTTGTCTTTGAACACAAATAATAAATCATGCATATATATCTTTAATGATTTGAATATAAGCATTATTAACTCTTTTTTTTTCAATAACTCTTCATAGCACTTCTCTTGAAATTTATCATATGCTTTCTCTAAATTAATAAATATCATATGTAGATCCTCCTTATTCCCTCTATATTTCTCCATCAAACCTCTCAATACATGTATGACTTTCATAGTAGACTTACCTTGCATGAATCGAAATTGATTTTGAGAAACATTAGTATTATGCCGCAATCTACTCTCCATAACTCGCTCTCATAATTTTAAAGTATAACACGTTAACTTAATTCCTCTATAATTCACACGATCTTGTGTATCACCTTTATTCTTAAAAATATGAATTAACATACTCATTCTCCACTCATTTAACATCTTTTTAGTCTTCAAAATAGTATTAAAAAGTTTAGTAATCTAATAAATTATTTCATCTCTTAAGCATTTTCACATCTCTATTGGAATATCATCAGGTCCAATAGCTTTTTCATCATTTATTTTCTTTAAAGCCTCTCTAATTTCAATTTTATTTTCATTTAGGGTGCTAAGATCACTAAAGTCAATCATATTCTCACAACCTTCATAAAAACTTTTAGCAAAATATCTCATTCACCTTTGTTGAATATAATCTTCTAAGCAAAGTACTTTTTTATCTTCATCCTTAATACACTTCACTTGAATTAAATTTATGATTCATCTCTTTGTTTGACTAAATTATATATATATATACTTCATTTATATATCACAATGTCTTCCCTCTTTTGGAGAAGAAATCAAAACCCGAAAAGAAAGAATCGAGAAATAGATTTTTCCTTAATTTTATTTATAAAGGGTAGTTTATCACTCTTTGTAGAGAATCACATGTGCTTATAAAAGGATAATACTTTGCATATACATGACAACATCAAACTTTAGAAACTACAAATGACTTGCATATACAACTTATTTGAAAACTTCATGACCTTAATTAAAAAATAAAATCTCCTAATATCATTTGATGCTAAGGTTTGTAAGGCACTTAAATGCTAAACAAATTATATATTATCAAAAAGATTTATATCAAATTTACCAAAAATATTACTCCCCATAATACAATAAATTAACCGCAATCTCCAGATGATGGGAGTTGAGGCTTGGGATTGGTGAGAGGTTGAAGATTGAAGTTCTCTATAGCTCTATCCGATGTTCGATATTAACTATCACTGTTAGCCACTACTATCAGCCAATTGATATTACCAAACCACTATCTTATGATTTATCCCATCATCCAATTGTTATCGTCTGGCTAGTATTACTTAACCACAAGCACTTCGTCATCATTTTCTAACCACCATTGCCCAAATGATATCATCTAATTGCCATCATTATCTCTTCAATACCTCTCCATAGTTTCTATTATAACTATAAAAGATCAAGCAAGTGCCTCTAAGTTTATAAGACCAAAATTTTAAAGCTTCAATTTTATGACAAATCCTATAAATTTATAAAGGACCAGTGTTTTTCTCCTTCTAAATTTTATGTGAATTTTATCACATAAAATTTTTTTTAGCTTCTTTATTTCTTCTATTTTAGCTATGTATAAATTGCTTCTTCATGCAAAATTGAAACATAAAATTATTTCTCGATTATCATAATTTTATTTACGAGCAAATAAACAATTCTTAGAATTTTTCTTTATTGTAGGCTTGATGCTCCTCAAAATTTATAGGAGAAATTAGTCAAAAGTTAAAAAAAAAAAAATCAAATTTGAAGTAATCATATTTCTTCTCCTAAGGGTATCTCCAACTTAACACCATTTGCATTTTTGCAACTCCTACGAGGGTCCACTCGAACGACAAATGAAAACAAATTTGTCTTTTATCTCGGCTTTGAACAGTACGACGTCAATAATGACATCGCACTGTTCATAATACTATTCATCCATTCGCACTATTTAAAATAGAGATGACAAAAAAATATACATAAAATATTTTTTTTTATTAAAAATAAATTACTATTTAGTATAACTGTTACACTATTTTGAAATGAAAAATAAGTTTTTTATTTAGAGATGCCCTAACGATTCTAGCTGACTTTTGTACTCAACATCTTGTACTTTTCCCCAATTCAAAATATTTTATTTTTATAATTGTCTCGTTCATTTCTACTTATTCCATCAGTTAGTCCAAATGGCTGAAATATCAAAAGCAGAGAACTTTATGAAGAATTAAATTTACGCTAATAGGAACAAGTCCCAAATTGCTATTGGTGTGCATCGTAGGGGTGTCAATTCGGGTCAATGGGTTAGGTTTGGCTCGAACCCTGAAGTGACCCGGCACTATTCGGGTCAACCCGAATCCGACCGTTTTTAAAAACGGGTCAGATTTTCGGGCCCGAACCCAACCCAATTCGTGTCTGGGTCGACCCGACACAAATGACCCAATGTTGACCTAAAATTGTTAGTTTTCGGGTCAAAAATCGGATAAAAAACGGGTCAATATCGAGTTTCAGGGTCAAATAGGAGTTTTCGTGTCAATTTCGGGTTGCTGGGTCAACCCGAATCTGATGGTTGATTTGTTGAACCCGAACCCGACCCGTTTCGGGTCCGAGTTGACCCTAACCCAGATTTTTCTGGGTCAGGTTCGGGACATGTTTCAGGTCTTGTCAAAAATTGACACCCATAATACATTGTATAACTTTATTTTAAATTAGAAAAAAGTGCAGAATTATTCAACCATTCAATTGCTCCTTGCATGAATATTGCTATATGAAAATATTAGGTAAATATATTGGATTTCAGAAATATAGACAAAGAGATAATTTAAAAATAAAAATATGGTTAAAGAAAAAAACACAATAATCTACTTTTCGTTATGTTAGTATTAATCTTAATTTCTTCAACTACAATATAAAACTAAGATGAACATCATTTAAGAAGTGATGCTTCACCTTTGCCTCCACCATCA